TCTGAAAGTGAGGCACAATGGAAAAGTGGAATCCATGGGTAAGCCCTGAAAGGCAGTGACAAAAAGTGCCTAGAAAGGAGAGCCTAGAATGGATACCTCACAAGCTTTGATTGTATAAAGAATATAGAGAAAAGAAAGAGATCAGATGATTATAGGAGTCATGAACCAGAGAATGAGGGTCTAAAGTAAACAGAAAGAGAAGACAGATAATGAAGAAAGTGAGAGAAATCCTTTTTATGGAAAGAAGGGCAAAAAAAAAGAAGAAATTTAAAAGAACCAAGGGGTAGTAATTTTTGTTATGAATTAAGGGATTGCTATAGAATATGTAAGTGTTGGCAGAAAACTCACTTTTGAATAAGGATTAGGAAAATAATCAGTTTCCAGATCCAATTTGCAAATTAACCACTGAAGATCTCACATTGTATGGTATGTCTACTTATGGCCTTACAGAGTATACCTAAGATGCAGCATGGCATAGTGGAGAAGGGCTAGCCTTGGAATCAGAAGGATCTGGTTTCAAGTTTTAATACTGTCATATATTAGCTGTGTGCTTTGGTGCAAGTCATTCAACTTCTCAGTTTCCCCAGGTAACTCTCTGAGACTACAAGTTAGAGAAGAGTCGCTGCTGTGCATAGATGGAGGGATTTTCCACAGGAGGGAATTCCCCACATTGATGAAGTCTGACAGCCTCCTCCTAATGCCTAATAAGCCATATTTCCCATGACTGTTGATAGCTATCTTTTAAAATAATTATATCAACATGTTAGTACCAGTCATTACCAGTAAATAGTAATTATTCTTGTGATAGAGAAAATAACAAAATATCTAAAACACACTTTAAATGTCAGTTTACTTTTAAAGTAACATTTTCTAGAATTAATACAGTCTTCTTCTAAGATGTTCCGAGTACTTTTAGAAAGTTCTTATATATCCCCAAAACATATACCAATGGGGCATAAAGAGTGTTAGCCTCATTTTACTGACAAAGAAATTGTGGGATAGATTGGGTAGAATTTCCCAAAATCATACAACCAGTAATAATAGGAACAAGGGAGAATTATCTAAATCATAGTGAGTCTAACTACTCTAAAATTTTATATAATCATTCTAGGTTTCCTAAACCTAAATTTAACATGCTTGAGTTTGAGGTAAAAATTATCAGGTATTAGATTTCTATGAGGAATCAGACAAGTAAACAACTTGGGGCCCACAAATGGCATGTGCTGTAATAACAGACAAATGTCCAATTTCAGTGTGACATGCTAAGAATGCTGGGTGTGGTGATACGGCTTTTTTGGAATCAGAGAACACTACAGAACTCTTTGAGTCATACCTATTAGCTGCTTGATATTCATGTTAGGCTGGTAAATGTTCTATATAAAAACATGCTGGGCATATTGGCAGATGGGATGATTGACAAGGAGTTTGGTAGTAGATTGATAATGCTTTCAGGAAACTTTAACAAAAATAAGTCGCTTAATCAACCTGTTTCATTCAAAGACTTGAATGTTCAGTAAAGAATAAGGATCATTGGATCAAGGTTGTATGGCTATACCATCCACCATCAAAATAGTTTGAATTCACTGTAGACATTATAAAATATTTAGGAGTCTATCTCCCAAAACAAACCCAGGAACTCTATGAACACAATTACAAATCACTTTTCACACAAATAAAATCAGATCTAAATAACTGGAAAAACATCAGTTGCTCATGGGTAGGCAGCTAATATAATAAAAATGACAATCCTACCTAAGCTCATTTACTTATTCAGTGCCATACCAATCAAACTACCAAAAAATTATTTTATAGAGTTAGAAAAAATAATAACAAGATTCATTTGGAAAAACAAAAGGTCCAGAATATCAAAGGAACTAATGAAAAGAAATGCAGGGGAAGGTGGCCTAGCAATTCCAGATCTTAAATTGTATTATAAAGCAGCAATCATCAAAACTGCTTGGTACTGGCTAAGAAATAGGGAGGTGGATCAGTGGAATAGGTTAAATATGCAAGACACAGTAGTCAATGACTATAGTAATCTATTATTTGATAAACCCAAAGACCCCAGATTCTGGGATAAGAACCCACTCTTTGAAAAAAACTGCTGGGAAAACTGGAAAAGAGTATGGCAGAAACTAGGCATAGACCCAAATCTCACACCATATACCAAAATAAAGTCAAAATGGGTTCAGGACTTAGATATAAAGGCTGATACCATAAGTAAACTGGGAGAACAAAGAATAGTTTACCTATCAGATCTATGGAGAAAGAAGAATTCATGACCAAACAGGAGATAGAGAACATTATGAAAAGCAAAATGGATAATTTTGATTACATTAAATTGAAAAGTTTTTGCACAAACAAAGCCAATGCAACTAAGATTAGAAGGAAGGTAGAAAATTGGGAAAGAATTTTTACAACCAGTCTCTCTGATAAAGGCCTCATTTCTAAAATATATAGAGAATTAAGACAAATTTATAAGAACAAGCCATTCCCCAATTGATAAATGGTCAAAGGATATGAACAGACAGTTCTCAGATGAAGAAATTAAAGCCATCTATAGTCATATGAAAAAATGCTCTAAATCATTATTGATTAGAGAAATGCAAACCAAAACAACTCTGAGGTACCACATCACACCTATCAGATTGGCCAACATGACAAAACAGGAAAATGATAAATGTTGGAGATGTGGGAAAATTGGAATGCTAATACATTGTTGGTGGAGTTGTGAAATGATCCAACCATTTTGGAGAACAATTTGGAACTATGCCCAAAGGGCTACAAAAATGTGCATACCCTTTGATCCAGCAATAGCACTTCTAGGGCTATATCCCAAAGAGATCAAACAAATGGGAAAAGGACCCACATGTACAAAAATATTCATAGCAGCTCTTTTTGTGGTGGCAAAGAATTGGAAATGGAGAGGATGCCCATCAATTGGGGAATGGCTGAGCAAGTTGTGGTATATGAATGTAATGGAATACTATTGTGCTATAAGAAATGATGAACAGGCTGACTTCAGAAAAACCTGGAAAGACTTGTATGGTCTGATGCTGAGTGAAGTGAGCAGAACCAAGAGGACTTTGTACACAACAACAGCCACGGTATGCAATGACTAAGATTGTTAAACTGAACCCTTCTCAGCATTATGAAGATCTAAGACATCTCCAGAGGCCTCAGGACGGAAAATGCTGTCCACATCCAAAGAAAGAACTATGGAAGTCAAATCGCTATCACTTATTTTTACCTTCTGTTGAGTTTTGTTTCATCTTTCTGATGGTTCCTCCTATTGGTTTTAATTTGTACTTACAACTTCACTGATGTGAAATTATGTTTAATGGGTATGTAAATGTCAAGCCTGTATCAGATTGTGTGCAGTCTTGGGGAGGGTGGGGGGAGGAAGAAGGAGAAAAATTTTCAACTCAAAAGCATATGGAAAAAATTTTTTAAAAAAGAGTTTGAATTCAGTGTTTTCTGTTCACAGGTAATGGTGGAAAGGGAATGGAAAATACAGTTATAAGACTTAACAGAAGCTAGCTGGCATTTTAATCATCACAACTCATAATAAACATAACGCAGCAGCAATATATACTGTTACTGTGGAAATTAAAATAGTTCGAGGTTTTTTTGAACCCTGAGGGTCAAATGAAACTCCCAATTCTGTACACAGTTTTAGTTACATTTCATGTAAACAACATCATCTCAAGGACAGTTAGTCCTGCTAAAGCCCACAGCCTTGGTGACATCACTGAGTGGAAAAGAGGAGAAAAACTGACTCATGGCCAGGTTGACATATCATTGCAATGTGATCATATGGATTTCCTGTCCTGTGTTGATGTGCAAATGTGGTCATAAGCCAGACCACCATTCCCCTTCCTGATTCAGCCGCACCAGAAAGGCTGTGGCCTCCAGTACATTCACCTTTTTGATATTTAAAAATCAAGTCTTTTAGGAAGCCTTCCAATGTCGAAAAAAGTAAATGCCACATATCTCTTCTATTCTGATTTATATTTCTCTTGGGTTCTTTGCAACTTGGATGTTTGACAGACATTGAGACCGTAGCAGGTTCACTGGTACATGGCAATAGTGCTTAGAAATAACCTTTGATGAAACATTTCTAAGCTAGTGTTTCCTGACCATAAATCTTCTAACATACACTGCCTTTTAGCAGATATTTACTTGTTCCCAAATTTTTCACTCTCAAAATTCCTTACCTTCTCAAATAGTATCAAATAGATTCCAATCTCTTTCTTCTCCATGAGTCCTGTCTCTCCCAGCTGGGGCTGCCTCTTTCCCCCACACTTCTCAGCCCTACCTCCAAAGCTGCTAAGGGCAACTGAGTCAAAATGAGGAAGTTCCCAAGGAATTGAGACATTTTGCTGGTCTGCTCTGTACAATGCTGGGAAATAGTGACTTAGTTCAACTCCAAGTATAGTAATATTTAGCTCATAATTTTAATAATTCTCACATAGCACTAAATGGCATTTACAATAAAATAAAAATTGATACATTGATTAAAAAACATGTGCTCATTTCATGCTTTACATTAATTGCTAATGGACATAACAAATAGTTCTTGATATAACCAATCTACAAATAATTTAATGAACAATATTTATAAAGGAGAAACAAGCATAAGATGGGATTTCCTGCCCTGAAGGAACTATTCACTCCTCAAGATGTATATAACAACAACACAACAAAAAGAAAGCTACTCAAAAAAAAAAAAAGGCAACTCTGCTAGAGTCTGGTCACTGGTCACTCATATATAAAACTGGCATTTCATATATGAGATCTAATAGCTTGTTGGTATTAATGAAATGCAGCTATTAAAATGATAAATTATTTTAGGTAAGTGAGACTCAGAGACTCTGCTAAGTAGTGGGAAAATAACATACGGAGTTTGCTAAACAAAATGAAAATTTCAAAATGAAATTAGCCAACTTTCTCATTACCAATGTCATAGAAGATTCCAAATCAAAATACAACTAGCCTACCATTTGACTCTGAAGCCATTCAATCAGAGTTTCTGCTGTTGAGTCAGGGACTTGACATCTCAATCCTTCCTTCTCATCTGTTTCCATCATCTCTAACAAGCCACGAAGATCTTCCACCAGATGCAAGGCTCGCAAGCTTCCCATGAATGGAGAGGTTGGAGACTGACAATCAAAAATCCCATTGGAATATTCCAAGGCCTTAGAACCTAGAAAAAGTGAAATGAAAGCAATGAAGTTTACATAAATCCAGCTCTGAAAAAGCCGAAAGAAAAGCTATATTTATGGCCTTGCTAGGAAACCATTTTATCAGAGTTGTTAAGAAATTCATGAGCTAGAGTGATTATAACCTATCAATACTACCACATGATGCCCAACTCCCCTATACGAGGAGTTTACAAGTAACAAATTCTTGACAAGATAATGACATTATAAATGTCAGAGTTGGAAAAGACCTCAGAGTTCATCGATATGTCATCTATCATCTATCTATATATCATTTATCTATTCTCAATGTGATACAGAAATCTCCATTCCACAGACTCAATAAGTAGTTATCAAGTCTTGACTTTAATACTTTCACTGCTGGGGAATTTATCTATCAGGAGAGTCCATTCCACTACAGCCCCAATGAACATTAATTGCTGGGAAATTTTTCCTCATATCAAGTAAACATCTACTTTCCTATAAATCCCAACTAGCTAAGTTATTTATAAAATTACTACACTGAACAGACACTTATGATAAATAAGGACAGAGTAAGAAACTGTCAGTAATATTTGAAAGATCATGGAAAACCAGAACTATCCTCTAAAACAGTGGTTCATAAGACTGGGGCAAATGTTGCCTCAATGTAGCCCTTCTAACCTCAAAAAAGTTAGAGAACAAAGCCTACAGAATTGAGGACAGTGACCTTAACTTCAATTCCTGGTCAAATTCTAGATCAGATCAATCAGTCAAGAGATGATTGCTGAGTATCTAGATAGGAAAGCAGTAATTACAAAGAATCATCATATCTTTATAAAGAACAAGCCACGCCAAACTGATCTGATTTTATTTATTTATTTATTTTAGGCAATTGGGGCCAAGTGACTTGCCCAGGGTCACACAGCTAGTAAGTGTCAAATGTTTGGTCTGAGGCCAGATCTGAACCCAGGCTTTCCTGACTTCAGGGCCGGTGCTCTATCCACTGTGCCACCTAGCTGCCCCTCTGATTTTGGGGGGAACAGGATCATTAAACTAGTGGATGAGGGGGGTGTTTTGGATATAGTTTACCTGGAGCATCTGCAGAGCTAAAAGCTCACCACCAAAAAGATTTACCCTGAGTTAATGCATTTTTATATTGTTTCCTCACTAGTAGAGAGTAAGAAAAATGAAGGCCTGGCCTGGATTGGAGATGCTGTGCAATACACACATTTTGACCCAGATACACCAGAAGGAAGAAATTTTATGAAGCAAGAACATTTGGCATCTGCTGGGGGGAAAATATGTACAGTATTGGAATGGTAACATCACTAAATAACTTCTGAGGCAAAACAGCCCCAAAGACAGATACCAAAATTACAGAATAGAGATTCCATAAAGAAGTCCAACTGAACTTGGGGGAAACATGATGTAATAAAGAGAATACTGGTCTTAGAAATAAAAGAACTGAGTTTGTACCCCCGTTCCAATAATAACTACTTCTATAACTCAGGGCCAGGGACTGAACCTTTTTGGTTTGGGGTTTTTCTTTTTTTCATATATAAAAGCATAATATGGATAGAGCATGCGCTCTGGAGTCAGGAGTACCTGAGTTCAATTCCAGCCTCAGACATCTGACACTTATTAGCTTTGTGACCCTGGGCAAGTCACTTAACCCTGACTGCCTCAACACCCCACCCCACCCCCCGCAAAAAAAAAGAAGAAGAATGTTCATACTGCCTGCTTTATAGGACTGTGAGAATGTAACATTGGAGAAATGTGAGTGATTATCACTGTTATATTTGATCTCAAATTTATCTTCTCTTACTTTTTATCTACTGATTCTGGAACTATCCTCTAAAACAGTGGTTCTCAAAGCATGATTTTGGGAGCTCTGGGACTTCCTGAGGTCAAAACTATCATTATAATAATACATTATATACAATACATATTGCATATAATGTATACATATAAAATGTATAGATAATATATATAATACATTTTAATTTTTTTCTCTAATGACAAAAATATAGGTAGATATAGCCCACATAAACAAAAGCTCTTTGGTTAGGGGAGATCCTCAATAATTTTTAAAAGTGTAAAGGGGCCCTGAGACCAAAAAAATCTAAGAATCAATCATTATTCCAGTCTAGAACTAAGTCTAAGTCTAATCCCTCTTCCAAATGATAGCCCTTCAAATGTTCCAAGGCAGTTACCACATCCCTTCTTCCCCTTAAGTCTTCTCTTCTACAGAGCAAACATGCCCGTTTCCTTTAACTGTTTCTCATAGGACATGGCTCTCTTAGGCATTTCACCATTGTGCCTGCCCTCCTCCAAGCACCCCTTACAGTTTGCCAAAATCCTTCTTAAAATGTGGTACCCACAACTGGACACTACATTACAATGGTCAATCAAGCCATCATAGGATTTGGGAGCAAGAAAGGAATGGATATATATAAATGGGGAAACTGAGATTTAGCAAATGGAGGTGATATGTACAAGACCAGCTGCTATGAGGTTGTGGTGAAATGGATCAAACCAGTATGATCTCCTTCACAGGAACATTTAAGCACTGAGTTTGGATGTTAGAAGCTAGAGATTGATCTGACCTGCTATGATACCATCCATCTGCTCCAAAGCAGCTGCCAGCATATCGCTGGCATCGCTCATCATTTTCTAGTTCCTCAAGTGGAGAGTGAGGTCACAACCTGGATCTGAAACAAAAAAATGATGGGTTTATTAACTACACTCAGAAAAGTATCAACTCCTACTTGGCAAATTATGATTTCAGTTTTCAGTGTCCCATGCTAAGGGTAAAGTCGGGACATCATTTATTCACTTAGTCATTCAACAGATATTAAAGACCACATATTATTTTTAAAAGTATTATGCTCAGAATCAGAAGGAGACATAGATAGTACTACTACTATTACTCTACTAGTAATACTTGATATTTAGGTTACTGTAAGGTGAGGAAACTGCTTTACATATATTATCCCATTTAAGCCCCATCCTAGTGCTGTGAAGTAGAAGCTACTATTGTTCCATTTTCCAGATAAGGAAACTAACGCTGGAAAAGGTTAAATGACTTGCCAGGGTCACACAGAGTCTAGGTCTGCAAGAGAATCTGAATTTGGGTCTTCTTCACTCCAAGTCCATCACTTTATCCACTAGGCTATGCACAACATCTCAATCTAGTTGGTAATTCCTTTCTGTGGGTGTAGTCCCATACTGATAAACATATAGAACGATTAAGCCTTTCTAACATTTTAGGGCAAGAATCCACAATCTATGGCCTAGCCCAAGGTCCAAAATACACTCAACCACCTGGAATTTTACATTTTAAAAACTTAATTTTAAAATGTAAAAACCATGTGTAGCTCTAAGGCAGTCTAAAAACAGGTGATTAGGATTTGTCCTTCTGCCTGGGATCGGCATTGATTTGACCACCCCTGTTTCAGGGCATCAGCTCTCAAACATTCTAGTCTGAGGACCCCTTAGTACTTTAAAAATTATTGAGAACTTTTTGTCAAGGTATATGCCTAGTAGTGGAATCTGTGAGTCAAAGGTATGAATGGCTGAATAACATTATTTGCATAATTCCAAATTGTTTTCCGGAATGGTTGTACAAATTCACAATTCCAACACTTATGCACTATGTGCCTGTTTTTCCACAAGCACTCCGGCTTTATCTTTTGCCATCTTTTCCAGTTTGCTTGGAGTGAAGAAAAACCTCAGAGTTGTTTCAATTTCCATTTCCTTTATTAGTATTGACTTGGAATTTTCTTTCATATGGTTTTTAACAGTTTGTAGTTATTTTGAGAACTATATCTGCATAGCTTTTGACCATTCACCTACTGGGGAATGACTCTTTTCTTTTAAAAAAATGTTATAGTAATATTTTTTTTCTATTTCTTATATCCCTGTTATTTTCAAACTTTTATCCCTAAAATTCTGCCCACTGAACCTTTCCTTGTAACAAAGAAAAGCAGCCCAGAAAGATAAAATGCACCAGCAAAAGCATCTGACAGTGTATACAAAATTCCATACCTAGAATTTACCACATCTACAAAAGGGAAGGTAGTATGTTTCATCAATATTGATCAGTGCATTTACTTTATGTTCTGATATCTTTAGGTATTTTCATTTGCATTATTTTAGTCGTATATTTTTATATTAATTTTGTCTACTTCACTGCATTACTTCAACAAGTCATCCACATTTTCCCTGAATTCTTCACATCACCATTTCCTAGGCTGTAATAATATTCCGTTATATTTATGTGCAACAATTCAATCATTCTCCACTTGATGGGTATCCATTTTCCTTCCAGTTTTCTGCTACCACAAAAAGAGCTGCTATGAATACTTTGTTAAAAAAAAAAAAAGCTCTTTTCCCCTGGCCAACTTGGGATATATGTGGATATGAATAGTCTTTTCTCACATAATTGCGAATTGATTTTCAGAATGGTTAGACCAATTCACGTCAACAACAGTTTGTTACTGTGCATGCCTTCCCATGGCCCCTCCACCTTTGACCATTTGTCTTTGTTTATCTTTGCCAATTTGATGGCTGTGAGATGAAACGTTAGAGTTGTTTTCATCTACATTTCTTTCAATATTAGTGATACAAAGCATTTGTTCATAGTGTTACTGATACTTCCGATTCTTTCCTTCTCTAAACTTTACCTTTTTGGGGGAAGAAGCCTTTCCCAAAAGCCAAACCTCACTTCTTGCTACCAATGGTATCATTACCCCACATCTATAACAAATAACTTCACCTTCTACTTTACTTAGAAGAATGAATTCACCTGCTGTGAACTCCCTTATTTCCTTTCTCCTATTCCTCAAACCTTAAGACCATCAGCCTCTCTCTTCTTTCCTCTGTTCAAAGAAGAGGAACAGGGCAGCTAGGTGGTCCAGTGGCTAGAGCACCGGCCCTGGAGTCAGGAGGACCTGAGTTCAAATGTGGCCTCAGACACATCACACTCACTAGCTATGTGACTCTGGGCAACTTACTTAACTCCAATTGCCTCAGGAGAAAAAAAAGAAGGAACACTTCTCACTAAGTCTAATAGCTAGCACCTTGATGTGGTGCCTTCGGGTTTGCAAAATACTTTGCAGATACTGTATCATTTCATACTCACAGCAACCCTGCAAGGTTGATGCTATTGCAGTCCTTATTTTACAGATGAGGAGACTGGTACAGACAGAGGGAAGTGACTTGCCCTGGGTCATAGAGCTGGTAAGTGTCTGCGGTAGGATTTGAACTCAGTCTTCCCAACTCTAGGCCCAGCCCGCTGCTTACTGATCCATTTTGATGGTTCAGGCTACCTATGCTTTTGGATCCTTTCCCCTCCCATCTCCTCCTGGAATTTCGCTCTCGGCAACATCTCCTTTCTGTCTCATGCATTTTCAGTCCCTCCTTCACCCAGGGTTCTTTCCCAACCATCCCAAACATGCCTAGTTCTCCACAATTTTAAAACTGTGCTGTGCCGAACATTCTAACTCATCCAGCAGCTGTGCCTCCCTCTTTATTCCCCTTCACTGATACATCTCTAGAAAAATCATCTACAATTAGCAAGCAGATTGAAAGCAATGACTGATCAGGGTTTTATTTTTGGTTTTCCTAATCAGGGTTTTAGAGGACTAAAGGCGGAATGCACTTCCCTCCTCTTGGTATACAGGTGGTGTACTAACCATAGCTGGAAGAGGTGCTCTTTCTTAACTTTTTTTCTTTCTTTCTTGGCAGAGATTTATGAGGGTGGTGATAGTTATTGGGAAGTGCCAGTGGTATAAAAAAAACAACAATGTATCAGTAAAACACACAACCCCCCCCAACAACTGTCTATATCTAATGCCTCAATTTTCCCTCTTAAACCACTGCAATTTGAGCTTCAACCACTCCACTGAAATTGCTTTCTGTTTTTCTTTTCTTTTTTATTTTTTTTTGGGGGGGGTTGTTTTTTGGCTAGGCAATGGGGTGAAGTGACTTGCCCAGGGTCACACAGCTACTAAGTGTTGTGTGCCTGAGGCCGCATTTGAACTCAGGTCCTCCTGACTCCAGCCCAGTGTGCCACCTAGCTGACCCTGAAATTGTTTTTTCTAAGGTCATCGATGTAATCAAATCCAATGATCTGTTTCTAGGCCTTAATCTCCTTCACCCCTCTATGGTTTTTGACCCTGTTGATTACTTCATCAGAGTGGATCTTCCTTCTTTCCTTGAAGTTAGAAACATCACACACCTCTTGTTCTCTCCCTCCCTCTCTAATGACTCCAGGAATGGTTCCCCCTACCCAGTCCTTTCAAGGTAGTTGCTTGCCAGAGCTCTGTCCTTTGTTCTCTTCTTCTTTCTCTACATTCTCTTCCTTGGAAATCCCATAACCTCTCCCAGCTTCAACCATCACCTCTATAAAAATGGCTCTCAAATCTTTATCTCCATTGCTCTTCTGTCTTCTGATCTGTAGGCTCCCATCTCCTACTGCTTTCAGAGCATCATTATGTAATCTGTACTCCAGCCAAATGGAAAAGCTTTCCAGCCCTGGAATATAGTCTGCATTCTCACATCTCTTTGCTGCTGTCCATGCTGTTCCCTATACTTAGAATGTCCTTCTTTTGAGTGTTGAATTCCCATCCATTCCATAAAACCCATCTGGTGAAGACTTTTCTGATGCCCTGGTTGGTAATGACCTCCCTCCAGGACTTCACATGGCACTTTGTTTTTTAACTCTTACAATACACTATTCTCTTTGTGGTGACAAAGAGAGTAGGAAATTGAGGGGATGCCCATCAACTGGGGAATGGCTGAACAAGTTGTGGTCTATGAATGTAATGGAATACTACCGTGCTATAAGAAATGATGAGCAGGCAGATTTCAGAAAAACCTGGAAAGACTTACATGAATTGATGCTGAATGAAGTGAGCAGAACCAGAAGAACATTGTACACAGGAACAGCAACATTGTGTGATGATCAGCTATGACAAACTTAGCTCTTCTCAGCAATACAATGATCCAAGATAATTCCAAAAGACTCCTGATGATGCTACCCACATCCAGAGAAAGAACTATGGAGTCTGAATGCAGATTGACGCATACAATTTTTACTTTTCCCCCTTTCTCAAGGTTTTTCCTTCTTTGTTCTGATTCTTTCATAACATGACTAATGTGGAAATATGTTTAATATGGTTGTACATGTATAACCTATATCAGATTGCTTGCTATCTTGGGGAAGGGGAAAGGAAAGGAAGAAGAAAAATTTGGAACTCAAAACCTTACAAAAATGAATGTTGAAAACTATCTACATGTAATTAGAAAAAAACAAAAATCCTATCAAGTGCAAAAAAATACATACTATTCTCTGTTGCATCCCACATACTAAGAGGTTTTTGTTGAGGTAAAGGATTATTCCTTATCAATCAATCAGCATTTATTAAGTGCCTACTATGTATACAAAGAAATGAAACAATAAATGCCATCAAGGAGCTTATAATATCTTGACTAAAATTCTGTATTTTCAAATTGCCTACCACAGCACACTGATTTGCATGCAGTTGGCATTTAAGATATATTTGTTACGAAAAAAATTATTCAAGAGCTTTTCTTTATGTGGGTTATATCTACTGATATTTAATCTATTAGAAATTTGAACTGACAAAATTTTTAACATTTGTGTATTAATTTAAAAGTAATTATAAACCTATTATATGTTAACATA